GAATCTGCAGCAGAGCTGGGAATGGGGCCCAAGACCCTCCCAGGGTTCTCTTATGCAGAACCCTGAGGCCAGGGTTCTCTTATGCAGAACCCTGAGGCCAGGGTTCTCTTATGCAGAGCCCTGAGGCTAGGGGTGAGGTCACTGATTCTAGACCATGGACCAGACCTTGGGATCATTGCCGGACCTTTGAGATCAGCTGACCTAGCACCTTCCCCTTTGATCGATGAGGGTGCCGAGGCCTCGAGAGTTGGGAAAACTGGCCCAGGGCCAGACAGAATAGCTAGGGACAGAGCTGGGGTTGGGACCCGGTGCTCTGCTGCGTGTCTCAGGGCGTCTTCCTCAGGGGGAGTGGGGCAGCAGGAAGTTGTGAACAGAGTGCTGAATTTAGGATCATCGGGAGGACCAGCTTTGAATGCCTCCTGGCACACACTCTAGAAGCACACCCCTAGCCAAACTACTGTTCCTGGAAGGGTCCTGGTAAAGATCATATAAGATAATGTATGTCAAATGTTTTGCACACTTGAAAGTGCTGAGTCAATGTGAGCTGTCGTCATTATCAGGCCACACTACCACAATTTTGTCCTTAGCTGCTTCTAATCCAATCCATTAATCAACAAGTATTTATGAAGCACTTACTGTCTGCCACCAGGCAAAGAACAAAGCCTCCCTTCTCACTAGGATTCTCCCTTCTGATGGGGGTGGGGAACAAGTGTTTGTAGAATGGGTGTAGCAGCTACGAGGTGAGGGAAGACAAATCCATCCCAAGAAGCGGAGCACACGGTGGTTTGGGGGCGAGGCAGAAGAAAGGCGTCTTGCAGATGAGGAGCTCTCCCGGGTGGCGAGCAAGGATGCCCGGATGGGAGAGTGAAGCTTAGGCTGGAAAGGCAAGTTGGGACCTTCTGGGAAGGGCTTTACCAGCTGAGCAGAGGGCCTAGGGTAATAGGAAACCGTGGGCTGAATGGGGGGGGTCACATGGTCTGACCTGCACATAAGGAAAATCACTTTGTAGAGGTGGGTGGGACGGCTCAGAGCCGGGAGAGACTTGAGGCAGGGAGGGCAACGAGGAGGCCATGGCAATGGTTTAGGCCAGAGAGGGTGATGGGATGGTGGCCTCAACTCAGGCAGTAGCTGAAGGAATGGAGGGAAGGGGTCAGACGGGGAGATATACCGTGAAGGCCAAAATGACAAGATTTGATTGCCCTTTTATTTATTTATTTTTTTGACTAGGTGATGGGATTAAGTGACTTGCCCAGGGTCACACAGCTAGTAAGTATTATGTGTCTGAGGATGGATTTGAACTGAGGTCCTCCTAAATCCAAGGCCAGTGCTCTGTTCACTGTGCTACCTAGCTGCCCCCAAAATGACAAAATTTGGCAATGGATTGAATATGTTGGGTGAGGGGGAAAGATGAGTCCAGGACAATGCTGAGATTATCAAGCTGGGAGGCTGGAAGGATGGTGGTGCTTTTGACAGAAATAGGAAAATCTGGAAGAGGGGAGGCAATTGGTGACACATGACTGAAGCTTGGGGACAGACTGGGGCTGTCTGTCTGTCTGTCGGTCTACTTATCTATCTCTCTGCCTATCTAGCTGCCTACCTGCCTATCTATCTATCCATCATCCATCTATCTATCTATCTATCTATCTATCTATCTATCTATCTATCTATCTAT